ACACAAAAAGAAAATCAAATCCTACCAATTTGAAGGCCAGGATCAGTCAGTTTAAACTAGGGCCCACAAACCCTTTCTTATAACCCTCGAGAAAACGTTCTCTTAATATGTTTAGAAGCAGATAGTATGTCATACAAACTCTACATTGTCCCTGAATATAGCTTCACAAGAGGCTATAAAGTTCAAGAAGGAAAAAGAGGAGTTATTGGCTCTCAATCTTCATTGCACACAATAGATTTGTTGTTATTGTAAAAAGCAACAATCAAGTGTTTGTTAAAAAATTGAAAAATGATATTGTGAAAAAGAATGCTCTCGCAGTTGCTACTTATGTTATATTCTATGCGGGTAAAGGTAATTTACTAAGTCTTTGTCATGAACTAAAATAAAAACAAGCGTGGAGAAGATTATAAGGTTGTCTTTAATCTAAATTTATGTGGCATTCTTAAAAATTAATATGTTGTTTTAATGTAGGAAATTGATGAGCATATCTAAATGTTTGTTATTTTTATTGTTTATTTTTACTGTTTTAAATCTGAAAGAATAATATGAAGTCATATTGTATTGTAATTGAATACTTATAATTCTAAATATATATATATATATTTTTTTGTTATTAGTTTATTTGTATGAGTATTTTAATGTAATTTGATAGTGACATATTAGTTTGTTTTCTTTAATTTCTATTTAACATAACGACGAACAACTAAAATTTTGATAGTTTTTCATAGACTTTTTATCGATATTAAATCCATGATATGTTTACCAATATAAAATATAAAAACACAAAACAAAAATACAAAATAATATAAACTAAATGTTGTTTTAATAATAATTCATGATTTAAAAAGATAATATTTATCTTCTAATACTAATTTAAAGTATTATAAAATATGTTTCGTGAATAATTAAAACTTTAATCATAATATATAAATTAAAACTTTGAAATGATAAAACTAAAATCATATAAAACAAGTAATTTAAAACTATAATATGAAAGAAGAAAATTAAAAATGTTAAAAAAAAACAAAACAGTTAAAAGACTACAAGCTAGGAATCTATTTTGTAAATGTATATTTTTATTTAGCAATTGACATTTTGTCATAGATCTCTGTTTTGTATGTAATGAGGCTAGGACTTGATCCTCGTGTCTTATTATTAGCAGATGTTTCAAGTAGATCCAATTTTAGTTTTCCTTATGGTTGTTACAAAGATGGTTGAGGCAGATGATGGTTGCTTTATAGGATTACATGGTTCTGGTGCTATTTACAACAATTATGGTTTTGTCATCCTTACGTTGTGCTATATCAAGAGCATGGTCCTGATGCTGTTCACTTTATCTATGTTTTTTACATGCTTATGCTTGGCACTGCTCAAATTAATGACTTCATTAAGTTTTTTTTTTCAAAGTGTATCATGTATTTATTTATTCCGTGATTAGGATTTGTTCTTTATATGTGGATTGTTATTTTTAAGATGGCTTCTTAAGTTGGTTACTATTTTCTGAGATGGTTAGTGTGTTGGTTTCTTTGGTGAGTTTGGTTTACAGGTTTCTATTTATGCTTCTTTGATTGGCTGGTATGTTTGTTCTAAGTGGTTGAAGTTTTGGATTGGGCTATTTTGCCCTTGTTGGCTCCTCTTGCTGCTCTTTTTTTTTGGTGTTTTTCATGTTAGTTAGTGTGGATGTTATTACCCTTGGTGATTTAATTTGCATTTTTTTTTTCAGCATTGTAGATTGAAACTCTATGTATTTCAGCAATCCACTTTGATTTTTTTTTTTTTTTTTCCATTTTAGCATTATACTTCCAACTCTTTTTCTTATTTTGAGTTACCATTCATTTTGTTTCTCAATCGTGGTTTCCACGGGTTTAAACCTAGTTATGTAATACATACATTCGATATGATAGATGTAATTTCAACTTGATTAGAGCTTTCGTGTTGATAACGTGTTATAAATTCGACGTAATTAATATAAAAACTAGAAAAATTAAACTAAAACATTATAAAATAAAAGGAGATTTGAGAGGATTCTTGAACACTTAGATGATTGTACTCAAGATGGTGTATTTTTCTCTTTACATTTGATGGGTATTTTGTATTATATAACATCTTATGTTTTTCTCTTTACATTTGATGGATATTTTATACTATATAACATCCTATTCATACATCATCAAAATAGTAGTTCGATATGTAAAGGAAATTATTCATCCATATGCATTGTGTAACTCAATAACTTGATGTAATATATATATATATATATATATATATATATATATATATATATATATATATATTGGTGTTGATTGTTACTTGGACATAAGAATATGTATGTAAAAAGAACATGCATGTTTTTGTTTAAAAGAATAAAGAAAAGATGGCTCCGACTCCTTTTAAATTCTTGCCATGGAAAAATTTATCTCATCACTTGTCACATAGATAAAAACTATGGTTTCTCACATAGGTCCACGTGTCAAGAGATAAGGTGAAAATACGATATAGTAAAAATATATGTAAAAAACTATGTTGTTGAGAATTAAAAAAAAAGGGAAATACATCTTTTCATGTGTGGGTTCTTACAATATATAGTACCAAACAAAGAAACATGATATCAAATAATATTACATATTTTCTACTACTTTGAAATGGGTGTATGAGTTCTGGAAAAGAAAGCATGACGTGACGAAAATGAAGAAATGACCATCTTTTTTTTACATATCAACCTTGTACTATTTCCTCTTATGTCCTACGTTGTTTGCTATGAAGAATATTCATCCGTTCCCTGACTATAGTCTTCATCATATTATGGAGAGGCTGATGAATGAACATGGTAGCCCATAATTTGCAAGTAAATTGAATTAAACATGTAAAAAATGTTGGAAAATTCATAAACAATTGAAGACAAAGTTAAAAGTGCTTCGAATCTAACTTAAAGGGAATGTGGATATATAAAGTATAAACTAAACATAGACTAATTTAGAATTATTTGTTAGTTTTTTTTTAAAGATGCAATAGAAGAATAACTATTATTAACGGCGACAACCACTATTAATGGCGACAACCATCAATCTTGTTGGATGTCGCCGCTAATAACAGTTGTTGTTAATAGTCTTCAACCCTGATCCGTGTGAAAACTTGAGATTACACCTTATTTGCCAATTTTGTTGCAAATCCAACAACTTTGACCACGTTGTGTACAATATCAATAACAACAACAACAATAGCGGTGACAATGGCACCGCTAATAGTCTAATTACATGGCGCCAAAACCTACTTCCGACACGTGTTGCCACAATTAGTTTCCATGTTGCTGCTAATTTACCCCTTCTAATACGCTTGCGTCGCCGCTAAAGGCCTTGACGAATATACCCCATTCCGCTTTGTTCTGTGTGTTCCTCATGTCTACAGTAAAATTCACTCCACATAATTTTACCGTTGATTTTGTTGTTTACTCCTTCAGCTCGTCGATTGAGTCAGAATTTCACCACCAAATCCATAATCGACGACCTTTCCATCACCGACGACCTCCTAATCAACGACCTTTCATCACTGGAGATATCTATAAACTTTTGCATTTGAGTTTTCTTCTTTTTTGTTCTCCGTTTTTTCTATTTTTCTTTACCTTTTCTCTTTTCTCCACTGAAAACTCGACTTTGTCGAAATTTCCTGCCCCACTTTCGTGATTTAGAGTTCCCTACTAGAAAATCTCGACATTTGGAACAAACATCTTCTCCGCCAAATTACACCTCCACATGTTCTTTATCACTTTTTTGTTTTTAATTTTGTATGTGGAATGCATATTTTGTATATGTATGTATGTGTGTGTTTTATAAGTGTATTATTTAGTGGCGACAGGGTATTGGTGGTGACGAAGAGCAATAACAGCGACATACAAGGCAATTCTAGTGAGGAAATGACCACGAACTTTTAGCACTGACAAGTCGTTTTAGCGGCGACATACCAGAATTTTAGCGGCGGCTCCTGTCGCCGCTAATACTCGTGTTTCTTGTAGTGCGAGTCTCCCTAACATAGGTGTTCATGTCACCTTACATGTATACGAGCCCTTGTATAAATATGAGATTATGTCTCATGACATGCAGTCATCACAAACAAATCTTCATGTCCATAGAAACAAACGGCCAGCCGAATTAGAACCCGAACATACAAGATACCATCCATATCCTCAAAGTATTTCACGAGTAAGCCACTTCTCAAATATGAAAATATAATAGTTACTTTTATCATCCATATCCTCAAAGTGTTTCATCGAGTAAGCCGCTCCTCAAATATGAATATATAATAGTTACTTTTGTATCGATTGATAGTTATATGTCTCATTCCCATTTTTCGAAATTAGACTAGATATGACACCCATGTATTATATAAGTTTATTTAAAAGAAGAAACTAAATATAAAATTCTAAATATTTGAGAAGTTTGAATTTATAAGAAAAATGAGAAAAATATTGAATTATAAAAATTGAAGTTTTTTTTTTCTCTAAATTTAAACAAATAATTTATATAATAAATAAAAGAAATTAATGAAGATTTAATTTAGTAATTTTGAAATTTAAAGGAAAATTCATTAGGAAAATTAATATGTATTTATTGTTGCATTTAAATACGATGTAAAATTTAATAAAATAAAAAAAAACATAAAATATAATATATAATGTGAAATATAAATTAATTCAAAATAATAACAAAATAAAAATTAACAATTTAAACAAAAGTAAAAAGCAAAAAAAAACATTCAAAGAAGATTTGATTATTTTGTTCTGCAAAATCACAATTTCCCTTAGATTTTTCTTCTCGTAAATTATTTCAACTTGAATTTCGGTCGACAGATATTTATTCAAACCTAATTAGATTATCAAACACAATATTTTAGTTTGGTGTCACCATTTTAATAATAAAATAATAAAAAGATACGTTTTCTCTTTATTTGTCTCGAACGCCCTTTAAAATGCCACCCGTGCTAAAAACAAATGTGTATTTGCGTTTGGTGGCACCCTTGTTTATCGAGCAGCCACTCTCACCTTCTTCGTGCAACACGTGTCTCCTGGTCCACTTTATACGCGTCTACCGAAGACCCTGTTGACGCCAGCATATATATACACCGGCGACCAACAGCGGTGGAGCAACTCGGAGACACAGATTGGTAACCGCGAAGATGAGTCAGGATCAACCAGAACGACCTCAGGAAGTGCAAAGGCAGCAAAAACAACCTATAAAATATGGGGATGTATTTCAAGTTTCCGGTAAACTAGCTGACAAACCGGTGGCGCCACAAGATGCCGCCATGATGCAAGCAGCTGAGACGACGGTGTTTGGACAAACCCAGAAGGGTGGAACCGCCGCCGCTATGCAGGCTGCGGCTACAATCAACGAGAGAGCAGGGTTGGTCAGTCATGATGATCTCACCGTCACCGGTGATCAAGGAGTTGCTGTTACAGCCACCGAGGTTCCCGGTGCCCGTGTTGTCACTGAAACAATTGCGGGAGAGGTCTAGATCTCACTTGATTGAAAATATTATTATATCTGACGTCGTTGTGAATCCGTTTGTCAATTTTCCGGCAGGTGGTGCGGCGGTATGTGGAGGCTACACCGATACTCCAGCAGGAAGGTGGGGTCGGAGATTTGCATCAGCAAGGTTTTATTACGATCGGAGAAGCACTTGAAGCTGCATCAAGGACAACCGGGAACAAACCGGTGGAGCGGAGTGATGCCGCGGCAATTCAAGCGGCGGAAGTGAGGGCTACTGGCAGCAACCTGGTGATCCCCGGCGGACTTGCAGCTCAAGCTCAATCAGCTGCCACTTTGAACGCATCAACTTGCGAAGAAGATAAAGTCAGACTTAGTGAAGTTCTTACAGTAAGTATTCTTGCACAAGAAATAAGAAACTAATTAATCTTGTTTTTGATTCGTCATCTATATATATACTTAATTATTACGTCGGGAAACTATACTTAAACAGGATGCAACGGTGAAGCTACCGGCGGATAAAGTGGCTACGAGGGAAGATGCCGAGGGTGTGTTGAGTGCAGAGAGGAGGAACAACCCTAATTTAACAGCGCATCCCGCCGGAGTAGCTGCTGCCATTGCAGCTGCTGCTAATCTGAACGAGAAAGTGGTGTGAGACGAGGAGGTTTGCGTAGTTGCAGTAAATTACCATGTTTTTTGTATATAGTTGTAGTGTTAAACGACTCTCATGACTAAAAGTTTTTTGTTTTTTTTTTTTTTTTTTTTTTTTGTTTATATATATTTTGACGCTTTTATTACCAATGCACGTCGTAATGAAATCATAAAACATGGCCTACTGAAATAGAAAGGATTGAACTGAAATAGAAAGGATTGAATGATTGTAACACTTGATAATTCTAAATATTTAATTTCAGTCGCCATCATATATGTCTAAAGTTGTCCCTAGGCAGGATTTTTTATGTCGACGTTTTAAAAACTTCTTGATGTTCTACGTTTGCGGCCGTATTAAATTTGTTTGTGTTGCTTGTGCATTAATTAGGAAAAATGTATAAGAACAACCAAGTTTTTAAACTATTTAAAAACACAATTAATTTTTTTCTTTTTCAAGAAAAACCCAATGAACCGTACTTTTATCTAAAAAAACCCAACTAACTTACTTTTATCTAAAAAAAATCCAACTAACTTACACTTTCATTCAAGATCACGTGTAATTAAATATCAAAAAATGACTCGTATGACCATTGAAGTTTCAAAACTGTTCAAAAAACCTAATCATGTTTTGTTTGCTGAAAAAACCCAACGAGCTTATGTTTTTGTTCAATTTCCATTAGAGACAACCAGATTCATTAGGTATACAATTAGTTGACAAATGACATGATATTATATTTAATGATATGGAATAAACATATTAGAATTGTCATTTATTTATCGATTTAGGGCGGCTTGGAGAGAAAAACCAACGGCGTCTATGTTCGATCTCTTGTAATAGCTATTTCATATTCTTCCTCTCAATCGTTGATGTCAAACTCAAGATCTACAAAGAATATATTTGATGATGAAAACCCTTGTGGATATGGACACCCTTCTTGGAATTAGACATCTAAACCGAAGGATCATCTAAAGAAAAAAGTTCAGGGCTTGTTCAAACAAAGTTCAGGACTTGTTCGAACAAATGTGTAAGTGTAATTGAAAGCTTTATCATGTCCATATTCTATCTATTTGTTTGGTTTCTTTCAAAAACAAAAACTTATTAAAATGGATATGATAATGATAAAGCTTTCAATTACACTTGCTCATCTGTTCGAATAAGCCCTAAACATTATCTTTGGATGATCTACCATTCTAGATGTCCAAATCCGAGAAGAGCGTTTACATCCACAAGAGATCGAACATAGACGCCGTTCGTTTATCTCTTCTCCAAGCTCTAAATCGACAAATAAATGATAATTCTAATCTGTTTATTCAATGTCATTAAATATAATGTCATGTTATTTGCCAATTAGTTGTATACCTATTGAATCTGGTTGCTTCTAATGAGAATTGAACAAAAGCGTAATTTCGTTGAGTTTTTTCAACAAACAAAACATGATTGGGGTATTTTGAATGGTTTTGAAACTTCGTTGGTCTTACAAATGAACCATTTTCCGATATTTAATAACACGTCATAAATCGTGTCATTCGTTGACTTTCATTAGCCGGTTGATCCTAAATGAGAAGTGTAAGTTAATTGGACTTTTTTAGATAAAATATTAAGTTCGTTAGGTTATCTTAAACAGAAAAAATATAATTGAAATTTTTTGAACGGTTTGGGGTTATAATTCATTTTCCCCATTAAATAACCAACTTACTTGATAATTGTTAAGATTTTGATAGTGTAATCAGTTTTAATTTTTTTAAAATTGTTAGCAACAATCGAGTAGTGTTAGACCCTTTTAATTAGACGACGAAGACAAAAAAATAAAAAAAAGATTTTCCAATGCTCATGGCTCAAAATGTCATTAATTAATTAACCCATAAACCTATTGAAGTAACATCTAATAATTAATCTAATGTCCAAAGCAACTATGAGTATCTTGCGAATACAAAAGTTAGTAGTAACATAGTTCCGCTAGCTCGTTGCCCACATATATATATATATATATATATATATATAACGATCATCCCATCTTACTTGGATCGCCCTTTTGCATCTTGGCACAATGCTCGAACAAACTTCCATCGAAGCAACGTCTTACTGAATCTTTTGATAGGAATCCCTCTGAGTCCTTTGCAAGCACATAAAGAGCTCCCCATTCCAACTTGCTTGCAGTCCTACATATACATCGTTACAAAACATGCATGTGGTTACTACTTACTACTAATAGATCTTCCACATATAATTAAGGACAAATTCACAAAGACTACTCTCAAATAATCATTATCGCTATTGAAAATAACCCCAAACGTTTGTTAATTTAGTGATAACCAAAAATTACCAGCCAAAGAAATCAAAGGCGTTGCGAGTGGCATCAGTCATATGCCAAAGCTCCTTGAATGTGAGTTTATTAGGAGCTGTGCGAGCGTATTTGCTGAAAATGTTCTCAAGATTGGCTGGAATAAACCTGCATGCATGCAAGGACGTACATTCACCATGCATCCCACAGCAATAATCACAAACGAAATTAATTAAGTCATTTATTTGTACTTTAATTACCAAGACCAATTAAGACGAACTTAATTTCCTAACCTTCCTTCGGTGTCATAAGTCGCGGAATCACTTCCATGCTTCGCCCTGTGTATGTTTTCTATGTAAATGGGGAAGAAAGGTGATGGCAACCAAGTCTACCACAACATCCACATGTACAAAATTAATCCAATTAGAACACAGCAATGCAAAATCGTCGCTTAAAATTAACCACCATATATATTCATGTGACCTTTTCTTGTCAAGAAATTAATAGTTTGATATCAGAAAATGCTCATCCAAAAATTAAGTACAATTTTACGCCACAAGGTTCGATTAGTGGTCGATTGATGGGTGATCAAATTAAGGGTCTTGTAAGTATATACAGTACTCAATACTGAAACAGAAAGTTTGACATTTTTGAGGTCAAAAGAGCTCGTTCCCATTTTTAGAACTGTAGTCGATTTTGTCAGAGTTTTGAACTTTTCTCATACTGAAATGGAACATGATATCATTTTCCACCTATAATAAGTTCTTGGGATCATTTTGTCAATTATTCTACGTCAAAAGCGAACATGAAAAGTAAAGAAATTGACCCAAAAAAGTCAAATAGCAATAGCACCATTTTTATGGATTAGCAACTTACAGGCAAAGTGACGTAACTCAGAGCCATATGGATTAATACCATGAATAAAAATGAAGCGAACGCGTTGAATCCAAGGTCTCGACACCCTGTATGATTTAAACACTTATGGTAATTATGAGATCATGTAAAGTGATCATACACACAGCTGAACAGATCATATATAAAGCTTACCTTTAAAAGTCTCCCAAGGAAAGATGATCCCGTTGTTATCTTGGTCAAAGAACGCTACGTGTTGCTGAAGAACAGACATATTGTTATGTTTGTGTCCCGTTGTTCCATTTGGATGATCAGTATCAGGGGCAGTCACTGCTCGTGCCATGTCTGAAAGTACCCAAAACATCAAGAAATTAAGTCACATCGATCCCAAAATATTCTCAAGATATCGATTAATATTTTTCCACACATGCAGTAACATACATACATGGTTTAGGGAGGTTGTTGTCGAGGTCTGACCGAATCTTTCTCTCGGAGGTAACCGGAGCCTTATCAGCTACTGTCAACATCGTATCTGCAGCCTTATCTTCCATACCTAATCTTCGTTGTGTAGGTTACTACTAAGATGTATTGCTACTGATTGGTCTTCTAGGTCTTGTCTGTGTAATGTTAGTGTTAGCGTCTGCAACTATGTGTTATGTGGACGAGAGAGAAAGGTGTTAGCATGAAGTCGAACGATCGGATCATGAGATTTGAAGATTTCACTTGGAAATGGCATGCCCTCTAACCCTATTCTTGTGCATATTTTCTTGGGACACTTGTTTTATTCTTTTACATTCCATTTATAGCTATAGTCATTCTTAGTTCGAGTCATTTGTTTGTGATTGAGACCACAATTTGAGTTATATCAGATTAATTATGTAAATAAAGAGAAAATTTTAATAGATAAAAAGAGGGTTTGTATGATTGCAACTTCTCTAAAGTATATTTTTAATGCTGACAATTTTTTAGAGGGAGTATTTTATAGTTTCTGGCTTTTAATTTAAAAAAAAAAAAAAAAAAAAAAAAAAAAAACTCGAACTAAAAAAAGAGTTTCGTTTGCACGTACTGTTAACTTTTAGTTTAAATAAAATAATCAAAATCTAACAGCCTTTAAGAAAAAGTTATTGAGTTTTTTAATCAATTTATATAATTTCTTTTAAAAACATATTTATATACTTATTCATAACATCCCAAAAATATTGAATATAAATTTATTTTAAAAAATGAAAACAATTTAATTATTGTTACAAAGACAACCAAAGTAAAAGTATTCTCAAAACATCAATAATAAAATCGTAAAAAATTAATGTAGAATAAATCTCCACGGATGTAGTGCGATCAAGCAATACTCTTCCTTTTGAAAGTAGAAGTATCTGAAAACACTTTAAACATAAACTGTAAGCACAAAGCTTAGTGTATAACGCCCGTATTTCTGAGCTAAACATTAATGACGATGTAATAGTCTAGGTCCATGATTGTAACTCATTTTAAAATGATAAAGATGAATTACTTGAATATTATGTGAATTATGTGTTTTTGTGTGCTTGTTACTTGTTTATAATAATATAATAAATAAAGGATAAAAATAAGCTTCAAAAATAAAATGTTAGATAAACCCGATATTAATGAAGAAAGTTGTAGTGGTCGTGACAAGGATTCCGGACATATAACGAGCGTCGAAATCCGAGTTATAATGAAGAAGTTATGGCATGTCGAAGTTTCGCGACAGAACCGAATGACATTTTTTGACGTAAATGATGAATTTACGATAGATGACTTGTTAGCCCTATTGATCTAAACAAAAGTCGTAGTGTTCGTTAAACCGAGAGCGTGCATAATAAGAACGCCCAAATCCGACTTCGTATAAGCAAGTTATGATTTGTGTAAGTTTCGGATCGGCAGTGCACAGCCCGAAGTTCGAATAATAGATCGGTCGATTTTTGGC